TTATCATATTTTATCATATTTTATAAGTGACAATTAATGAACACAGACAGTAATATAGAGTATAAACCATGCAAACAAGGGAAATCAACTTAATATACATTGCACATTATACGACATTAAATGAAGAGCATTGGATAATAATTCAAAGATATATTTACATATTGTATCCTACAAGAAAAGTTGAAAATTTATAACTAGGCATTTTAATGTTGTTGTCAATTTTAATTGAACTCAATCACCAGTACAAATTCGTTTTAATTACAAGAAGGTGAGTGACCAGAATTACATAGCGCATCTGATTTAATATAATTGACTACCGATGATTTGGGTTAAGTTCTTACCAGCAAAGCTAAGGTCCACTCGTTTAAAAACCAGCTTTAGAAAAACCCATACCATGTTTGATTCATTCGACTATTGCTCCTCCATATAATTGGAACGTCCAATTGTTATCTCAACAAAAAACATTAAATTTAGAAAAATATGAAAAAATTGTTTGATATTTTTTTTATTCGTCCAAATTATTATCATATGTATAATAAATATTTTAGTAATTTATTGTTTGGATAGTTAATAGTATAACACATTTTTTGAATGAGAGAAAGACTAGAGTATATAAAATAATGAAGGTCCATCCAATAATTTACATGTAGGATATCATGCAGTTTGAAACGGATAGAATCAACGAATTTGTAAGATTAAAGAAGATAGAACAAGATTTTTTTAAACTTTCTCATGTCTGGTTTAACAAGTTACATTAAATTAAATTGTTACTGTAAGTATTCTTTACTTGAATTATTCGATGGTATAATGTTATGTCCAATCAATATGAAAGGCTACATGAGAAGGTTTAACTTTACATAAAACACATTGTTAGAGAGATGTCATTGAAATAACAAGACATTTAATCGTACTCACCATTAAGCAGCATTATAACATCTATATGACTACTGGTACATGGGGTTAATAATTATAATACAAAAATTTCAGAAATCATTTTTTGATACAAAATATCCTAGCCTAGGCAGTTGGTATAGTCATGGTTGGTTAATAACCTAAACCACTTAAACCTAAGTACGAAACGACACTTCCTTACCTATCATCGCGAAAAGATTACAATCAAGAATGTAAATCAATACATATCGGCAACTGTTACCGACCAACAGTTTTTAAAACGCTTACTTAGATATCTCGATGTCAAATGACATGGGGTTTCTAAGTACTCCAGAATAGAAACGCAGCAGATTAACTAAACAAACTATTCATAACATTGATGTATTAAAATATTTTTGTATCAAGCAAGTTTGATACAAATAAAAACGAAAAAATTGTTTTACACTTATGGTTATTGGAGGAGTTTATTATACTTTATTTCCCTCTTGCATATTTGATTGCAAACATGTTTCTGCAGCTGGTACATTTTTAACTCAGTCAACAATTTTGTAGCAAGTCCATGTATATGAAATTAATTAGGATGGAGCTTGAGTTGGATAAGCACAAATATTTCAGTATTAAACTATCTATGATTTTACCCAAGAGCTTTAAACGCGGATTCTTAACAAAATAATATACAGGGTGTGCTAATTAAGTTTCAAGACTGATTATTTCCCTCGTAGTGGAGAGCTTCCAGACCGTCATGGGGAAATGGCTGGGTGTAGGAACGTCTCGAGTAATTCTCCCCGGTTGCCGGCGAGAGAGTGAAAGTGACACGAGAAAAGATAGAATGTGTTTTGTGAAAACACAAAACTACGTATACACCACCAGAGTTAAGATTCAGCATGTTAAGGATCAACATAAAATGGTCCATAAAATGATGTGTCGAGAGCTGCATGGAAACGCTTTAGTTGCTTCAACAGGCCTATCAAGAAGATGCAGCGTCACATGCCATGGTTTTCATGTGGCACAAGCTGTTTAAAGGTCTCAAAAAGACGATCGTGCTGTGAAGCCTGTGACGTCTTGGACTTGGAACAAAGAAAATCTGGTAAAAGTGGGTAGGTTTTGAACTGCTACGAATAGCCCAGTCAATAAAGGTTTAGAAAGGGAAATAATTAGAGTAATGCTTAATTTTACACTGTTGATATATATAAACTAGAGGAACATTTTTACAAAAGTCCCCAAAAATCCCCCCGAGCTTCCCCCCCACAGCCCCCTCAAAATTTAAAGTGTCGATAATTACTAATTTGCTATTTTCTCTGTAATTAATAATTGGATTGCATACATCTTTTGGTTATTTTGTTAACCGTTAACATAGCTAAAATATTGACTATTCATTTTTGCTCTAAAAACAATAATTAACTATCTACAGACTTTTTTACACCAGAGAATCGGTAAATTTAATATTATTTGAGGGGTTTTCAGTATTATCTTTTTGTAGGTAGTATTATGAAAAATACTTTGAATTAAATAATGTAGACCACCATTTTACAAATCTATTTACATACACTTATATACAGTTATGTATATTAAAATCAGGAAGGAAGAAAGAATGTAAATGGTTCTGTAAGAGGGCGCTGACCAGCTGGCATGGCGTAGGGAAATTTGTGCTCCACAGGCAATTTCACTATGTTATGTATTTCGTTGTACTTTTTTATGAAAATATTTTTTTAATATAGTGTTTGAGCATTGTACTCATCGCGGATCGAATGGATTCAAACTACGGTACAGTGTTTCCTTTGGTCTCTGAAGATTTGACGATGAGTAAGGTATGTGGCAAACCTTTACCAAAAGTGTTCACGGGGGATCAGATACAACGGCACGTGGCAGTTGAGCAGTCACACAGATTCTGACACGAAACAACGTGGCAACGCTTCCACGGCAACCCTCGGTCGCAGATCTCGTCTCCAACTACCTTTTCACCCGTATTAACCCTTCCCGGACGGGTGAAAGATATATCCTCCTAAGTGTTTGGTGATAAAGGATGGGTGGTGGATATATCCGCTAATGGGTTTTGATGTTCCGGACGGGAAGCGGATATATCCGCCTTCTCTTCAGAGCGACTAGCAGGTGCTTGAAGGAATGCAATTTGGCACTTTTGCAGCAATTCAAACCGGTTCGAACAATATTCTGAACAACATTACGATAGTTGAGTTCCAGGAAGCCTTCCAACAGTGGAAAACCCGCTGACAGCAGTGTGTCGTCTCAAGAGGAAACTATTTTTAAGATTTTTAGTCCGCTATTCATAAATGTTTAATACATTTATTTTCCTGAGCCCAGTCTTGAAACTTAATTAGTATATACAGGGTGTCTGGTCATAAGTGTTCAATAAAATTATCTGTGAAACTAAATAATACTGGTAAGTAAATTATGCATCTTTGAGGTTCCCAACTCAAGCAGTAAGAAAATTAAATGTAAATTAAGATGATTTTAAAATAATGATAGTTAAAAAAACTTATAGTACCGAATGACACGTATTGTTAAAATAAAGGCATTTTTTTATTCTTACTAAATTTAAAATAAAAATAAAAGATGAACTTTGGGGTGTTGAATAAGATTCTATTTAAGTTTCAGCGTCAAAGTAAAAATTGTTTACAAAGACAAAGACTTAATAAACATTAAAATCATTGTTTCTAGGTTGCAGAGTTCCACTATAAAAGTATCAAGTATTATCACATATTTCCTCATCAAATAAGGTTATGTTAATAACCTAATTATTAATCTATATTAATATAAATAGGTTATGTATAAGGTCATATGTTTTATCAAATAAGGTTTAAAATTATGTATCACCCTTAATAAAATTAAAATTGTGTACCTTTAATCACAGTCACGCTGCACAGTGAAATTCATGCATCATTTACACGAAACTTATAAATTGTGTCGTATTATATATTATATTATACATTATACAGGGTGGAACGAAGTTAGTGTTAAAATATTTTATGTCTTAAACTTATTAGTATTGGTGACAAAAAGACACTAATTTAGGTTTCTAAACCCTCACAGGTATGGAATAGCAGACAAATTAATATTTGTTCTAAATATGTGTATTTGCTTTGATAAAATGGCCGTAAGTGCACTAACAATTGTTTTTATTTAGACTTTATTGTCATTTTCAGAATCCTCATTAAATTTCCAATATTACAGACTCGTTGTCATGAAACACCTGTAAGCCTTTATTCTGAAACGGAAGTTTCAATTTGTGATTTTTGAGAAAAATGCAAAAACTTTTACATAAGTTTTCTACGTTAAACTGAACTATAGAAAATGTCCACAATAATCTGTTTGATAGTTAATTAATTGATTGTTGTAAAATAATGACGTGGTATATTTTAAATGTCATATTCGTAGAGCGGAGAGTTTTTCAAACATAGTCAATTGTGTAACGTCAAAACAATTAGCTAAACTGTGTGAGGATTAGTCAGATATTGACCTGTTTTCTAAACAAGGTTAATTGCAAAACAGGCCATTGTATAACTAAGCCATACAAAGCTGTGTTTAGAGTAGTACCGGCAGTGTGTTCGACGTATTAGATATATATTTACTAACGCAAGTTCGGTTATAAGAAAGTTTTTGTAACATAAACTACTTCCTTATAGTGCTTAGGCAAACTTATATTTTTGTAAGAGGATGTTTGGAAAGTTCTAACTCCAGATTTTAAAACACGACGACTTATAAAATATTGAATTGCACGACAAGGCTATACAAATAGTGAACCACCAATACTATGAAACAATACTATGATAATCCATTGGGATTTTCGAACTTTATATCCTAAAAATGACAACTTTGAGGACATTTGTTAAAAAAATTAAAACATTTAATTCTTACTTTTAATACAGTTACTATTACACTAATATCTCGATATTATTATTATTATCATAACAATAAAGTCAAGCGAAAAAAACTCTTATAACTGTAGTAGGAGACTTAATCATCTAGCTTAAGTAATAACAACGTAAAATGCTCCCATGAAAGTATTTAGGTCAAATATCTAAAGAGTACTTAACTATCATGGGTCAACAACACAACTTGCAACAAAGTATGGATGTATAAAATATACTAACCAGTGGTTCTGGGTATGAAGATCTCTGCATGTAGTTGTTGTAGTTGGTGTAGTAGTCATTCGAGGGCGCCAGGACGTCTGGAAAGTTGACCACAGGGTCCAGCTGAGGTCTGCGATGACCATGGCTGTACGGCACCAGTCCAGTGGCGCCTGCACTCGCGTCCTGGATCATCATTCGTTGGTACTGAAGAGCACTCTCTCGCGCCGCCGACTCCTCCGACAACTTCTGTTCGTGCAGCTCTCGCGCTCTCTCCAACTGTATCATCTGCTTCAGCTTTTGGAAGCTTGTGGGCTGCGCATCATCGATCTGCATCTGTCCCAGGCTGTTGCCGCCTACCAGTCTGATGGTGGTTGGCTTCCTCCTGGTGTGCGCTTTGGGCATGTGTCCTGCATTGAACATCCTTGCAAAGTCTTCGAACCCTCTGATCCTCTCCGGGACCGGTGCTTCCTGCACTCTCGGTCTCTGGTATCCGTTGTGCACCAGTCGCCCGTACACCAACGGCCTCCTCATCTTGCCGCCCCCCACGCTCCGGATGCTCGCGTGGTCCTCCCACACGTTGTACGCGAAGGGGTCACGATATGTCGGGATCTCGTTGGTGCTCTCTGCGGCTCTGGACTGCCTCTTGGAGAATCTCCACATTGCTCTCAGCTCGTCACAGCTAGGTTCCTTGCTCAGGTCCTGTGTCACGGACTTGACTACCTCGGGAAGATGCTCTGCCGCATCTCGGTACTTGTCACGGGGGGAGGCCGCTGACGCGATCAAAAAATATAGACTGGCCAGACATGTGTTCAGGAAACCAGGTCGCATCGTAATCTGAAACAAATATTGATACCGTTATACACAAGCTACATTAACTCATTGATAATCGTTATTTATTAATTGTTTACAGTCGTAACACAAAACTATGCGTGTTAGAAAATCCGACTTTATTAAACAGGTCTCTCTTTACATAAACACAATGAAGCGGAGTGAACAAAGGAAAACCTTTCATAGTCAACGGGCAATTCCATTTTTGAACATGCTGTGTTGGAATTAAACTGAATAAACAATAACTTTTACATTAATGTTCAAGTAGTATTTAAATTATTTTTAACATTCCTTGAAATGATCTTTAAGACACAAAAATATAATACGTGAATACGTATATTATATACATATATATATGAATACGTTTTATATACGTGGATTTTTACGAAGGTTAAACGTGATTTTCCTAATAAGCAGGACAATTTTTAAACTCTCCCTTGTTATGATGGTAACTCTTTTTCCCCCTTGAACTCAAACATTAGATTCTTAATAAGTAGGCTTAATTGTGTCAGAGACCTACCTATGTTGTGGATTATAACTACATAATTTCAGATAATGAATAGAAAACTATGATTTTATTTAAACCAATCACCGTATACTTAGACTAGATAAATATGTTAACAACAAAGTTAGTAACTGAGACATCTAATGTTAGAATATTCGAAAAAATTCAATTTTCGTATTTGCATTTACAACAGGTAATTAAGATGGTATAATCGAATTATTCGAGAAAGGTAAATAGACACAAAACGTCCAGATTCTACACGATTACGAGTTGAACAACTAGTGATGCTTATATATCCAAGAAAGGTGGTAGGAACTAATAATTCTTAGAACAGTTCATCATTAGGCTACTACATCTGGGCTTGGTTGCAGGCTAGGGGCCATGAGGGTGGTACAGGGTGATAGGATGGCTTCATTCTGTCAAGATACCAGCGCCAGCACAAATGTTCATCGTGTTATGTAAATATAACATCATCGCCCCAGCGCAGCAGGGCGGAGAGTGCAGATTAGCATAAGTGTTCCAGCCCTGGTTAATCCCTTGCTCTGACGATACACCGGTCACGGTTGATTTTGCGAGTATTTATTTATGATTTTCGTGAATCAATGAGGTTTATTGCAATGTTTTGTAGATTATAACATTGAATATTGAATTCTTTTCAACTCAATTCTTCGTTACTATCGATTTTAATTATGTTGACTACATTTTTCTAGCACATAAAAGTAGCCCTGAGCTTTCTCAGTGTAATGAAATGACGTATTGATTTCATGGCACTTTGAATAGAAAATAGAAAGTTTCTAATGATTTGCTTCCACAAGACTCGCCGATGTTTAAATACCCCCGCCGTAGCAAACCTACCGACTAAGCGAATTTCCATTTGCCTGAATTGATTTTCAATTAAATCTATTTAAATAACATTGGGTTTAACGAGGACCTAGACCTATGTGTTTGCTGCTACAGGGAAACTAATAAAGTTTTTTTTTTGTAAAATATTAATAGCTTAGTATTAAATAAATAGATTTACCAAATGTGATCAAAATATATCCATAATCAAGAAAACTTAAACATTTTACAATATTCTCCATAAGAATAATGTAGGAATTTTTAGTTTACAATTTCTTTAATTTTCTCCGATAACAATAACCGAACAAAAACACTTTGACATCCTAAATTATTAGTTTTTAAGCTCTTCAAAAAGGTATAGTGAGGAATTAGGAAATTTTGTGTTTTGAGGGTAAAAAAAGAGAAAACCCAATTTTTACCCATAAGACCAACCGTAAAACCCCATTCCCATGGTCCGATCATGCTGGTTGGTGAACTCATTCAAGTGTATTCCGCCTTACACTCTCAAGCCGAATTTCATCAAAATATATATTTATATATGAATTTGAATGGATGGTGTTTTTGGCCTCTAGGGACCTCAAAATGAAAAAGTAAATCGGCCCTGGGCCTAGGTCTTACCGTGCCGCCTACGGTCATAGCTACTTCCCTATAGAGAAATTTGCTAAAACGCATAGTTAAACTTGCATTGTTTTTTGGTGGGTGATGTGGATGAATGACAACAATATTAACATCCTTGGCTATGGCTGGTATTGAACGTACAACATAAGCCGTAGCAAACATTTGGAACACAGTAACGATTACTATTATTTAATATTATATCGGACTTTTACACCATTGATGATTTTAAACGAATTTTGTTACCACAAGATTTGTTTATGTTTTATTTTGGATTTCCAACTACAGTATTAATTTTACCTTCAGCTATGAATTTTAAAGGGGCATTTTTTAACATAGTAAACAATTTGATTTCACGTTTGTCGAGCTAACTTGTCTTAAAAGGGCAAAGTGAAAATGTTCATCTATGTAAATGACGAAAGTAAAATAGTTTGCCGGGGGCTTTAGGAGTGGTGGGGGGGGGGGAGGAAAGTGTTGCTTTAAGTCCTGACACTGATAAACGTCTTCTTAAAGTCCGCTGAATCGGGATCGACTTTCTCTGTTATGATGGCTATTTTATTATAAAAGCGGAAATAAGCTATCGAATACTAATCTTGAAGATTTACTATCCTACCTTTTGCGAATGACACGATAACAGACTGATACCAATTTCAATCCTCCACAACCATCGTCACGGAGAAAGATTAATTGTTAACCGAAACTATGAGTATTTAAGCGTTTCCAAGGGTGACATTCAGGGGATATTATTTAATAGTTGGAACTGGAAACAAAATTCATGTAAAACTTAGAGGTAAACAACTGTGCTGCAATTAAATAGTTATTTGTGCAACTAGTGAGCAAAGTGATAAATTGACTCACTCGAGAGAAATACTTACTCACGAGCCGTAGGCGAATGAGGAATGGTTTCTCGATTGAGGCAATTGCACTTTGCACTCGAGTTGCACATTATATTTTTCCTACAGTTACAATAAAACAAATAAATTGGTAAAGAAACGTAACATATTTTTACACAGAATTGAACTTTTAATATTACATTTAATGATACAACAGTAAAACAACTGACCAGCTGATTTACAGCCAGTGCTGCCAACGTATTTCGCGCGCATACGACCTTGTCTGCATGTTACGCGCTCACTATTTCGTGCCTTCACGTTGCAAATCTGGAGTGAGACAATGTTAACATTGTCTCACTGATGAGCGAATTGGCCACTTTGCTTTCTCAAATCAGTGAGAGAACATGTACATTGTTAGGTAGATGTAGGAAAAATCCATTAACACCAACTTTTCAAACCTAACATAAAAACGTTTCTAGGTACCATTGTTTTACATTCCAAACGACAATTTATTTATTTCGACAGTTAATTCACCATCTTCCATGAAGAAAATTGCAGAAAATGTAGTCCCATTGGAATTGATAAGCATTACAAGAAATATATGGGCTATATTAGGTTCGACGTATGTTTCTCGCTACCTTATCTGTAAAGTCTTTTGAAAATCTACTTACAATGATGTTATTACAAAATACTTCTCTGTTGCAGCTTACTTACAGATTTAACAAACTGCCAGCTGTTCTACTTTTTTTCTATCACTTTTTATTAACTTTTTTAGGGAGGTTTTGATGGCACCGTTGATGGCATGCTGTGGTTTTGGTATAATGCACATTTTATAACCACCCGACTTTTAAAACCCAGTCTCCTCGTTTGGTAATGATGGTATGTGCCTCCCCGTTCCCTACCTACGTCATACAGGTATAGGTTTGTTTGTTTTTCCGTAAACACAAGAACTCGAGTAATTTTGGTAATTAAATATAGTATTTTAATATACCCCTAAATAAAGAAACGACATCAGTTTGTATTCTTCGTATGAATGAAATGGGAAATTTAAATTTACAGTTTTTTTATTGTCTCGTAACTATTAGGCGTACAACAACGCTTCAATATACTAAATGATTTGTTTTCAAGCTCTACAAAATAGTTTAGAAAAATTGTAAGATCTTATGTTTCGGGGTTCAAAATGAAGAAACAAATGTTTACCCATTTCACTGCCCTAACTTTGTCACTTGAAATAAAGGATTTAAATTTTATAATTATTAAGAAAAATGGACAGCTCACTCTAAAGATGGTGTGAAAATATTAATGTAGATCTGTATTTGAACTATAGAATGAATGATTTGTTTGTTGATAGTCAAATAGTTCCCCTAAGAAATTTTGTATTTTATATTCATGTCAAAGTAGTGTAGCAATGCATTAAGAGGAACTCAAACGCTTCCAAGGAAAATACCCGAAATATTAAAAATTCTTCGATAGACTGAGGAAGATTTACCAATATGTTTTATACTTAGCAATGTTATTTACAATATAATACTATCGATAAAGGAATATACACTTTTCCATATTACTTAATCCAAGGTGGTTCGCATCCTTACTTGTGTTCCTTGCACTTTTGTCATTTGAAAATAAATAAATTATTAGCCTCAGAAAAAAATACTATTTATCTCAACCGTTCAATCATTAACAAGCTGCAAAAATATAAAAGTGTATGGTAATCTTAGAAGGATAAATGTTTGTAATTGAAAAACTTGTGGAAAACGGATATTAAAAGTAGACTAGGAGTGTGAGCGTGGGCGTTATGCCACTAAGGGAGGGGGTGGATATGATTTTCTGATGAGGTGAGGGGGAGGGTGTAATATCGTGCAACTGTGATTCCATAGCATATCACCAGAATGGCACCAACATTTATGAAATGTCATGGACAAATAAGGCATGAGAATTTTGTTGGTGATAAGTGAAAACTAATAAATGGTAATATTAGGTCACATTAGGATGACTATAAAGCCATGATTTAGTTCTGAAAATAAAGTATGGTTATTAATTTTTGAACTTAATTTTTATTGCTTTGCAATCGATTAACTTACTTTTAAACGTTGTATTTTAAATAATGTAATGGTCCCTAACCGTTTCTCTGTTTGTTACTTTCCTTGTGTATTCATCCTAAATGTGGAGATTTTCACATTTTCAAATATAGAATAGATTTGTAGAAAAGAAAT